CTCTGTGTTCATTCTAGTATCCACAAAACAATGCAAACGCTTTTCTACTGCTCGCCTTACCTCTTCAGACTGCTCTTACTTCAGTGACTTCTCAATCTTTCATTATGCTTCTGAGTAGCCGTGGAGCTCTGCCTTGGTCGCAGACCCACCAACTTTCTTCCAGGCTCATGTAGAACGACGCTGAGCTTGTTCCTCACTGGGAAGCAGCTGGACCATGTTAGCACTGTGCTGACTAGCTTATCCTGCTGATGGTTTTTCCTGTAAGACACTCATCGCTATTACAGCGAAATGTTACTAGGGTCTGAGTTAGCTGGGAAAGTTCTGTGTTACAGCAGCAGCATGTGTATATCCTCCGTGCTGTGTTAGCACATAAACTACTACTCGCATTCTTCTGTCTCTTCCATTTGCACGTAGGAGGCATAACACATCCTGTTCTAGTAAAACCATTACTGCTTTGATTCAGTTTCACCTTTTGAGAGTGTAAGGAGGGGAACTTGATTTATGGCAATCGATGGACTGAGATGTGAACACAGTAAAATGGCTGCCAGTTCCAGATGAGGCAAATACATTCTCGTTCTGCGTTCCTTGAAGTGCAAATAGCAGCATTTCAGCTCAGTCACTGATTTGCTTTGAAGTGACCACAACACTGCATTCGTTCTCCTTTTTGTGAGGCACTGAGACTTCTTCCTGGGAATGCTCCTTTGTAGACATCTAAGGTAGACAACAGGCACTGGAATAAAGTTAAGGTTCCAGGAAACAACTGATGTACAAAGATGCTCCACAGGTATTTGGTCCTGTTTCCTGAGCTCTCTTAGCAGGAGCTGCTATCCATCACTCAGGCAGAAGAACTCCTCATTTCCAAATCCCTGTCAGACACGGAACTGGTATCGGGCTACTCACACTACTACAGTTCCAGGCCTGAGGAGAAGACCTGGGCAATGAGAACATTTTATTGGGAAAATGCATGGGAATTTAGGCCTCTAAAGGATCAGACTGAAATTTTGGACTCAGCTCCTCCTTAACCCTGATCTCAACACCTAAGTCTTTTACTGGATAGAGGCCCCTGGTGTCTGGCTTCCTTTGCATTGCATGGGGAGGTAGGTACCTGCCCCCAGGTCTGTGGAATGGGCGTTGTCACAACATAAATCCATGTTAGGATATAGCCCCTTATAACTGAACAGTTACTTTGGTGCCTAACTCTTCATGGTTTCCTGTGTCAGATGCTCCTGTTTATGCGGTGATCTGTTCATGCCATAAGAGCATCTGTGCCCACACATCCAGATTCCCTATGGTATTTTCATAGATACTCACCCTTAAGCCCATGAACATCTTAAGAGAATCAGACTCCTGCTCATCAGAAACAGTCGGGCAATTCCTTAACTGCTTAATGATTCCTCTGTACGAGCCCTCTCATTTTGCAGGCAACAGGTGCTTTGATTACACCCTTTCCCCTTACATGTCCAGTACACTCAGGGAACTTATTTAGCTACGAAAATCCCAAATTCCCTTGCTGTCCTGCCCCACCCTTGGAACAGTTATTACCAGGTTGGCAATACACAGTGGGTTGGTTTGATTGCAAATTAATGAACCTTACCTTAAATGATACACTGAGGGGCAACCTGCAGAGTAGAAAGAAAAAGGTTTGTTTTCTATTTTTTTGTTTGCCTGAAGGCATACTGTGTTGAAAGCCCCAAAATAACAAACCTCCAGCAATGTGGCAGAGAAAAAAAATACACTTATGGAGATTCTATTATTTTGTGGCTGATGAGAAATCGGCAGCTTGCAAGCTGTAAATTTTTCTGAGGGAATGCGTGCTTGCACCAACCGATGACATCCGTAGGTGTTTTTTCTAATGAAACCATTAATTTGTAAAAAGGTAACATGGCTAAAATAAGTGATTTCAACCAAGTTCCTGCTTCCTGATGTAAAACACCCGTACTGATCACAGCTTAGAGCAATTCTAGGTCCTAGACTCTGCTCTCCAGCAACAGTCAACCCCATGCTGACAGTACCCTCAGGGCCTAAAGTCACATACTGTCTGTGATCAGTTAACAATCACGGCATCTCATCCTCTGCATAATAACCAGCTGCTCAGAACAGATGCTGAGGAATAGGAAACCCATGTCCTTGAGCCCTCTAAGCATGAAGATGTTTGGATCTCGCTTTCCCAGATAAGGCTGCCCTCACAAGGATACAGGGCATTATGACCCATCAGGCAAATCTGGATCATTCTCCATCATGGAGCCACAAGAAGAGCAGGCAAGAAGGTGGCGACTCTCACACTGCAGCCTGAGCACTTAGTGGAAGGGAAGATCCCCAGTTTCTGGTCTATGCCTGTCAGACTCTGGTTTTATCTATAACCAGTAAATTGAGCACCGGTTCCAGGCACTGCAACACAGCTCTCTACACTGGCAGATCATTAGAATAAACCTCGCATATTTCTGGCCTACACCAACAAACGCAGCTCAGACGTTAGCATGGACCACATACCATTCCCAACAAGCTAGCTGTATGGGGCACCCCGTTTGGGTGAATAAAAGCGTGGAGTATTTTGAACTTGAGCCATTTTCTACCAGCTGCCCTCAGTACCAGAGAGCAGTCCTGGGTAAATTTAATTTACTTACAGAGATTTAACCTGTATTTTTAATCAGTCAAATGTGAAATACATTCATCCTCCCTAGTGAGGGTAAATTACTCTGTGCAGAGCTTCTTTCACTGCTACCAGTCTTGCTCAGCTCTTTCCACATTACACTGAAGTGTATGGTATAGACAGAGTCTTGCAAACCTATTCCCTCCCTCTTCTCCTCCCCCCCTCCTTTGGATTACCTTTAATGACCTCTTGTTTCCGCAATCTTCGGAAGCCTGTTATCTGTCTGTGGTCAGACAGATATGTGCTATGTGATCAGTCACATGTGGTTCTTACATGCATAAAATAAGGGTGTCTCCCAGCTTTGTTCAGAATCCTGAGGGAGGACAAATACTCCATACCACAAGACACCAGTGATTACATCAAATGCTAAATCAAACAAGTACAGCTGATGCCTTAGAGAGAAGACCCAAGGTGTTTTTCAGAGTATTCAGACTGCTGGCCTAAAAGATACTTGATATTAACAACACATGTAAATATTTTCCTCTCAAAAAGAATGGGTGTGACAGACATCCTTGGAATTAGAGACCTGTAAAGCTACTTAATTACTTGACGTATTTGCTGCCACAAAATTTGTGATGCACCACTACACCCAGCAATTAGTACCAGTCTATTATTTACAGTAATAGCTATATGATGCATTATGAAAGTCCAGGCTGCAAAGCACTGTACAAAGTCTTAGGAAAACACTTCCAGCTCCAAAGAACTAACTACTGAAGTTAAATGTGGGGAGGGGGAAAAAAAATCAACATAAACAGAGGGAAAGCAGGTAAAACTGTTAGTAGCAAGAATGAGGTATTTGTATCCTGTTCTTTTGAAAACTTCTTGGAAGTTAATAATAAAACTGTCTTGACTTGCATTCTGCCTGTGGAGCAAGGCAGGCAGTTATTGGGAACAGGTTTCTGTCACTCACATCCCTGAGAGCATACATCCTGTGTACTCTCCTGTAGTGCATGTACAGGAGCCACAGGCACTTCTGTGGCGTGCATGACAGGAAACCATGAAAAACCACTGTTAAGATTGGGTGTTGGTCCTCGCTGCACAGTCAAACAGAAAGCTGTGACAATTCCCTTTCTTCCCTTGCTGAAGAATCCTCTCTCCTGCGTCATCGTTCTTTGTGAAACGACGCATTTAGCTTTCCAGCCAGCAAAGAGCTTATTTTGAACTTGTTTGGCTCCTGGCTGAGAGACAAGTTGCACCTTCTTTGTCTTCTCTCAAAGAATTCATTGAGATTTCCACATGTGGGATTTTAGTTCCCGCAAAGAAGTTTACTGCAGCCATATGGCTTTTGTTCCTTAAGAAGTACTTATCTTCGATCTGCATTATCATCTGGTTTAACTTTGTATAACATCAAACTTCGTACTTACCCATTCATTATAGATATGCTCAGTAAGAGCATATTGACCTTAGTTCAGCACTAAAACCTCACAACTTGATTCAAACAACACAGCCACACCCTAAGGAGACCTAGCAGGTTTATAACATGGAAGTCACCCTTTCCTGCCCAAGCTAAGTTATCACCAAAGACAAAGACAGAGCTTGCTTTCAGTTTTATTCCAGTTGCTTTATGCTGTCCCAGGAATATGTATCTGATAAGAGGAAACACTCACCTCAGCAACACCCTGTGAGCGCAAGTCTAGTCACTCACACCTCAGTTCTCACCAGAGGGAGGCTCAGGGCAAACGGTCTCAGCACACTCCTGTGGTATCTTGTGCTGATCCAGCACACAAAAATAAGCTTTTGACATGACCTTCCTCGAAGCCTAATGCTCTCCTTCCTGAAAGGCAGCAGATGGCAGCCCCTGTTATTCCTTCCAACCTCTTCCAACCTGTGACTAACGCATTTACACCCTAGAACTTATCCTTTCTCGCTTTAGCTTCAGCAGCAGGACATTTTAACTAGTTTTACTTGTATTACAGCAATGCTTTTGTATCTTCCGATTTCCTGAAGCTACTCAAATTCATCCAAGGTCTTCTCTTGTATTCGACTGACGAGGAAATGCTGAGTTCAGATTGTGATACTTGGCAATGATTAGTCAGGAGAAGCTGTGGAGGCTCTGTGGAGACCTGGACTGAACTGAGTGGATGCAAGTATCAATACCTGACACACAAAACTGACCTCCCCCTCCTGCATACCTCTGCATCACTAGTGTTTAATGAGACTTGAACATTTGTGAAAGGCACAGCCAGAAACCAGATCAGCTCTTTAACTTTGTGAATAATGAAAAAGATGTAGTAAGTTGCCCTGCAGGTTAACCCACAGAAGGATTACTCAAGCGAGCTCCTTCATGAGCAACAAATCTCTACAGCACGGCCTTTCATGTGATTAAGCTAGCTGTACACCGGAATGAGAATTTACTCCTGCCTAATATTAAACACAGTCAGCCACCACATAAGCAGGCCCTTTCTCATCACGTCTCGCCTACGTCACTATCCGTTTGGTGATGCTGAGAAAGATTATAACCTTGCTTCTAAGCAATAAGTAGTTAAGCTGTTTTCATCCACGGAGGAAAAAAAAAAGCTAAGTGAAACACTTAGTGAGCTCGCTAGTACTGTAAGAGTTAGCTTGGAGGTGAAATTCACAGATACCAGTTACAGACAGCTGGTTTTCCCTTCCTAACAGCTGGAGCTAGCAGGTATGAAGATGAAGAACAAAGGCCAAAACAAGAACAACAAATTCAAAATGTTAAGAACATCCTTTTGGGGAGCAAGCAACTTTAGTACGTGCTTCCAGGTTTTTAGGTTTCTCTGTTCATTAGTATTTCAGAGGTGGCACAGAAACAGAAAAATTGTTTCACAGATTCAAGCAGTTGCTCTAAATTTTCTGAAGGAATGAGGTGCTTCCCTGCCTACGAAAGGTTTGGAAAGACTCCCAGCATTTCCAATGAATAGCACTAAGATCCATCTTAGCAGCAACATAACACTGTTCCAGGTTCTCTCTCAAGTATAGAGGTAACCAGTGGTGTTGGGAAGGAAAGCAGCTTTCAGCTTCCCATACGTTACCTTTCTCTTCAAGCAAGGATTCAGAATACTCCAGATGAGAGGGTGGAGCTAGAAAGGAGTATTTCTCCTGCTTGCCCACTACCTTTCCTCATATTGCTGGAAAGAGGTCTGGAAAGATATTTCTATAGAGCTGTTACATACTTCTTTTTAAAAGACAAACCTACAAGTTACCATTTCACAGGAGTGTTTGCCAGAACAGAATCTCAGATCAGCATTTACAGCAAGCTTACAGACGAGCTTTTCCTATTCCAGAGTCTTAGGAGCGAATGATTTCATATTTTATCACTTTTTCTATTTCTGAAGTCTGACACAGGTAAGAATCTCCAAAACTTATTTACTATCTATACATTATATGCAGAGTTACAGGTAGGAACCATTTTTACATTGAAAAATATATAAAAAAATACTACATACAGGACAAAACATAGCAGCAAAATGCTGCTCGCAGAAATAACATCGAGTCTTTCTGTCACCAGGTAAGGTGAAACTGTTTTAGGGGATATTAACTGTTTCAAGGATAATATCAAAGTTTTTTTTCTTTTTTAAATAAGACGTTCATTAAAAATAATGTCTAAAACAACATTATCTAATTCATAGTCAGGCACCTAAAGATTTAGCTTTAAGTATCTTCTGAAATCCACAGTCATCGCAGAAGGAATCCGGTTTCACAGAGGCACAAATGAGGGAGTTTCTGAAAGCTTCCTCCGAGTTGCAATCCGCAGACATTTGGGGCAGCCTCCAGACTTGAAACATGCTTTGTGAAAGCATGTTTTGCACTCTGTTTACACAAACAAGCAGTTTTACATTCAGGAAAAACTGAATCAATAGGTGCATTCCTTGCAGGATGTTCTATCTAGTTTATCCAAGTATAAAAGTAAACAAAAGCAGCACAAGACCAGGAGAACAATAATCATTGTAATAACTATGGCTAAACATTTTGGAAAGACTCCCCGCATTCCACTGAATGCCAATAAGATCTGACATAGCAGCAATATAGTGCTGTCCCAGGCTCTCTCTCAAGCGTAGACCCAAAAATATAGCCGCCCTCTGCAGCCATAATTATGTTCACACAAGTCCATATTTTGGCTTTCTGAATTCACTGATGCAAGATAGCCACCACAGACTTCAGATACGTGTGCTTTCAGTAAAGCATATTCTCAGTGCTTTCCAAAAATAGGCCCAAATGGTTTGGCATGCCAACATCCCCCAGCGAAGAGGAAAAAAGTTTGGTCTGGAACATACCTGCGCATCTTTTGCATTTGGCAATCTGAAACGGAAAGACTAGATCCGCACTCTGACAGAATTCACAGATAAACCCCTTTGCTTGACAGAGCTGCAAGAACAAAGAGAGATTTACTTGTAAGTTTTTGCATACATATATGTATGTATGTATGTATACGTATTTGGAAATGGCAGTAGGGATATTTTTCACACTGTTAGAGAGTCCTGGCACATCCTTACCTCACAACCATCCACATGAGAGGTGGAGCTCTTCAGAATATCTTTAAGAAGGGGCAGTAACTGCCCTCGTTTGATCTTCACCAGGTCATCCAGTGAGAAGAGGTGCAGCTCCTCTGTCAGATGGCTTGGGACCTGTTCAAAATCTTTCAGTACCCTGTGGAGAAAATGAGAAAGAAAATCCAGATCCAGTTACAAGAAAATATGTTTCTTGCAAACATATTTGAAGAATAAGCCTCTCACTTCTATAGTCACCCGTGAGTCATATAAAGAAGATCCTGCTAAATCCTGCCTCACCTTTACTAGCAATTTTAGCTGGCATTAACAAAAACTAAAGGGTTTAGGGTTTAGAATAAAAAGTCTACTTTAAGTGTGCATTACTTGGGCACTGGAGTTGCCACATGCATGTCTCAGCAGTTCTCAAATGAGATGTAAAGGGCTCTCTCCTACCCCAGAAAGAGTAGGTTAACTCCTGGGCAATAGTCTAATATAACAAGCTAGGGTTATTTATTTTTGGTAAAAGATCTTTCAGGGTTTTTATCCTCCAAAACAACTTTTAGGTGAAATGGTGTTCACACTGAGGGGGTGAACACTGAAAACACCGTCACAACTTTGCACATGCAATCAGTGTAGAAGGTACAGTGAGGATCTTAATGCTTTTATCTATAATGGAATCACAGGTGGGTGGGAGGAGGGGATCATTAAAATATATATGTATTCAATTTTGGTCAACGCTTAATTGGTTCTTTCCTTCAAGAGGTCCATGTTGGAGAGAGAACATACCCTGCTTTTAAAGCTTATTTAGCTTGTTTTCTTGATTTAAAAAACGTCACCAATTCTAGGGTGAAAGTTTTATCACTCACATGTCTAACCACTAGTTATGCCCACGGCTTGGGCAGGTGAATATCAAAGTCTTTAATTTGCAGCAATAAATGAGGCTGGCTTTACATTTTCTAAACTTCTACCTGATATTCCGCACTTTTGGTTATTACTTTCATTTTAATAGGCTTATGAAATAAACTCAGTTAAGCCAATGGCAGATTTATAGAGGAAATCTTTAAATTCACATGGAACACCTCTGTTATTTCTTCAGATAAATCATCTCAGAGATGGACATAAATATCTCTGGCCTTTTAAGAACTAGCAATCAACCTAAGAGGGACAAAGTGCGAGAAAATGTATCTTCAATTAAAAAAAAACCCAACATTTACAATCAAATGTCTGTGGATGTTAAAAGGAACATTAAGCTACCACATAGAAGCTATTCTTCACGCTTGGTATTTGCAGTGCAATAGAAGGAAGCTCTGTTATCAGAATTTTTTCTGATGACCAGATTAGCTTGTTAAAAACTGTATTCAAATGCCTCTAGAAAAGGTGGCTTTCTAAGCACCTCATATGCTTTATAACCAGTTCTTTGTGTATAATCATGGTCCATACCTTTCACCAAACCTGCAGGTTTTCAATAGTTTCTTTAAATGAAAAAGCTGTTCTTGTGTCTCCTAAAGGATGAAGGGAAGGAAAAAAAACAATTTTTAAATAAAAAACAGCTGTATTTATCCAGAAGGAACACCACTATTAGGAGTGCAGAACACCACCATTTGAGTCAGCAACCCTTTGTCAGGGCATCAGCCACAACCTAAAAATAGGAACTTCTCACTCAGCAGAGAGTTAAACAAATGGATTGTCACCAAAGGCCTAGGAACGCAAAGGCTACTTTTATTCACTGACAAAGGAAGCAAATCCCAATGCTACAAATTGCTCCATGTCAGCGCACCAAGCAAGATGCTAGATCCAAACCTTCGTAAGAACAAGTAACAATCTCGGTATGCGGAAGCCTCAGCCAAGAGAAGGGAGTGCACAGCAGCCTTGTAATCTGCTGCAAAGCCCCCTTCCTCAAGGCGCACGGAGGTGGGGGAGGTAAAGCCTTTAGATGAGCCACGGGTGTTTTTTCTAATGGCCCACAAAAATAAGAAGTCATTCAAAATTTCTGGAGCTTTCCAACAGCCAGTTGCTTAGCAGAGATAACTATTTACTATAGGAGTCCAGCTCCCCAACGAACTCAATCTAGAAATCAATAAAGAAACATCTTCCAAAGACAACAGCGGAATGAGACCTCTGGCATAGCCTGGAAACCTCTCCCTCCTCCCTCTTCCTCTGAGGGGAAAGGGCAGGCCCCAGAAACGGTGACGGAACAAGGCAAAACACAAAGAAGTCAACTGTGCCCCCTTCCCATAGGCACAGGGCAAAGCACAACCTGCCCTGAAGAGTTTTTCCCCAAAAGCCTCAGACCCACAATTTCCCAATAAGAGAGGCCCCACTTACCCTCACCCTGTCCATTTCTTTTGTTTTTGTATAGAGGGCTGCGTTGATACATGACACATTGAAAATTGGGTGGTGCCATATGCTGTCCAGTAGGTGTTTGGCGAAGTTGCACACGTAGTATTTTTGGAAGTCCCATTTCATAAGTATTCGGGCAGGAATGAAAGTGGCAACAGTCACAAAAGTATTTCCCCAGGTAATCACAATAGCGGAGTCTCCTGATATATTCTGCAAGTAGATAACAGTGAAAGTGTGAATGCCTATGGGATTGTACCTCTTTTCTGTATGTCTACTCACTCCAAATAATTCAAATCTACTGGGAGCAAGGGGCAATGATTTTTTTTTTAATTAAAGCAGGGATTTTGTATTATTGTGGTAAACACATGGACAGGATTTGTACTCAGAACAGGAAGCTTTCCTCATTGCCATATTTATCAAACAGAACAGATTATCCTCATCATCATGAGATTGCAGGCAACCATTGTTGCCTTACCTGCAAAAAAGACCCACGTCTAACAAATGGAAAAAGGAACTAATCTTGGTATTACATTTATATAATACTTTTTCGTATTTTGTATTGTTTTGCATAAAGTTTGTATATAGTTTTGGTTTGCTTTAGTTAATGTGCCACCACATTGCTGATATTTTACAGCCATCACAAATGCCGCTCTTTGCTGGCAGACAGAACAAGATTTGAAAGCCTTCATTTTGTAACGAAGACTGAAAGACAAAAAATTTTAAAAGACAACCTCAAAAGAACAGAGCCACTCATTCCATAAGCTTCCTGTTAAAGATTTTTTTTAAAAAGATTGTTGTGTAAGTTGACACATGCCAGGAATTACATACTAAAAAAAAAAAGACCAAAAAGAAAAAAAAACATGGAAAATGTAAAAATAGGATTTTGCAGCCTGGAAGCTTTAGCTTTTTTTAAAAGCACTTCCTGTTTTGTTGTTGACAGTCACTAATTTTTACTCTGTGTAAGAAGGGTATCTATCACATATTCTGTCTGTAATGAGCAATTCCAGGCAGCGATAACATCCTCCTACTGCCCACTTTATTACAGGCACATCCAATAATGATATTTTCATCCTAGTTCAGATAGATTTTACAGTTGTCATACATCCATGCAGGCAAAGATTACAGTCTGGTTACTAGTTGTGGGGTTTTTGTTTTTACTTTTTGCTTTGCAATACTTACTGCTTTCTATCGGGGTTCCACAACCAACACATGTAAAGTTCTGGGCAGCTACCACAGCATCTCTCCTATGTACATAAGACAAACAGTTACTTCTCACTACCCAAAACACATTCTCCCAAACTACAAGTCACCTACTCCGGCACCAGTGGATATTTCCATCCTGAAAGTTGACTCCTCCTTCCCCATATAAGGAAGGGGGTTCTGGAAGAAGAGGTTATATAAGGCAAGCCCTGTGGGGGGCTTCTAAAAGATGATCTGAAAGTATTTCAGTGGGTGTCTAACAATTCCATGGAACATGTGTCATCCATTACTGCTTCTAAAGACAGCTCTTTACAAGAACTTAAATTATTTCCCGCTTCTTAAGAAATCACCAACATCAATGAAAAGGGAAAAACAAGCACACCTGCCTGAATATGCTGTAACTGAGAAAGCAACCGGGCTTGCAACACAGGGAATTATCCTATTTCCCTACTTTGTGCATTTAACAGAACTTCTAGCGGAGTGAGATCAAACACGACCCGTTTTCCTCCCTCTTACTGAAAACTTACTGTGCATAAAGTGTCAGCAGAGAAGTGGGGACACTGTTACAAATATTCTCAAAAGAAATCTTGCAAAATGGAATTCTTGGGAGTCCAGCTGAACACTGCGCTATCGTAACCACCAAAAAGTATGTGTACTATCTAAAAGGGCGCGTGCCATGTTAATTAGGACGTGCCAACAGAGGAAAAAAAGATGCCATCCACTTTCTAGTGGATGTGGTGACAGATACTGCAGAAGGTTGCACTGCATTAGCTCAACCCCAGTTTGTGTCTGTTAAGTTACCCATGCTCCTTTGTAGGTTTTGGACAAGTCCCATGCTGTCCTCATGAGAGCGCTCAAATCCCTTAGACTTACTTGACTGAAGGGTGAATACTAAATATAATCTGAGATCTTGGTGGGGCCCAGCCAGAAGATCCTCTTAATTTGGATATAATCTTTATTTCTTCAGCCAGATTCAAACTGGACTCCAGCTCTCTTGGAATCTCTTCTTTCAGCACAGCCTTTCAAGAAAGAAACTTATGTAGATGAACAGCTCATCGGTTGGACATATGCTAAATGCTATGAAACACTTCCCTTTACACTCCAGCATTCCGTAGTTCAGTCCTCACCTGCACGTAGCCCGCCTTGGTTTAATTCCCTCATTATCAGGCCCAAGAGAAACTACTGAAGTACATCCTGGTTTGTGCACAACTGCCTAATATCTTAAATATACTGAAAATTGATAAACAGAGAATATATTTTCAAAAATGTCTTTAAAACAAGTTAATAATCTGTGAGTGCCCTGTTTGTACTTTTCTTACGCAGCTTCCCCCTTTCCATAATAGTGAAGCAGCTGGAAAGAGACAATGATTATTTGGGGAACCAAATAAAGACCCTGCTGTTTTCTGCTTGGACTCACAATCTGGTTAGATGAGCTCAGGCAACCAGATAGTTGAACTGCAGCTTCTTCTCTCTGCAACCAGCGTTTTCTGAAAGCTCTGTACAGCTCCTGAGCTGTTGCTTCAGCAGAATTACAGCCTGGTTCAAAAGATGATCTGAAAGTTAAGCAGTAAAGACGGTGAAGAACAGCAGCATGTCATCAGCAGCTCCACTACCTCCTCTGCATCCCTGAAAAGCCTTTTCCCATTCTTTTATTCCTATTCCATTGCCTTGATACACCCCAGCCCTCACAGAGCCAGAGCCAGCACCTGGCAGCAAGGCTCAAGAACCACGGGAATGCCACGCTAAGCCAAGTACCACAAGGACATTTGCCATCAAGCAGCATTCCTTCCCCTTCCCTAGGAGCACCAAATTTACCCCTCCCACATCTTTCCCTGCCCCAGAAGGAAGGGGCATTAGAAAGCTGCGCTGCGCTATTATATGAAGACATACAGCATTACCTTTCATCTGGAGAGACGGACAGATTTTCAAGGTCTTCGAGTTCTGTAGTAAAAGAGAAAGTTACCAAGAAGAAAGTTATCTAAGAAAAAAAGCTTCTGTTACTCAGCACTGTTTTATATCTATCTCCTGTGTTACTGTGGTGTCAAAATACATTCGTCTTCAGAACACTCTCGTTGGTTGTGGGAAATAACTTCAGCCCTGGCTGTAAAACAGGGATAAGAAGTCTGATCTCCTTTGCAGAGCTCCGACTTGTACAGGTGAAGAGTACTCCCCAACAGCTATGCATCAAATCATCACCATCAGCCTCCCTTTGAGAGGAGGAGAATCCACAAATAGAAACTAAGTACTTGCTACTCCAAGCCCACCCAAAAGGCCCATGATAGAAGGAACTGGACATGAACGTTAATGTATGGAATCGATGGAGCGCACATTAATTGTTTTTGGACACTGACAAGTATTTTGAGACAGCAATCACAAACATATCACTTAACGCTAGGAAAAAAGCTAGTAGCAGGTGAGATGAATGGAATCAAAGCACACACATCTCCATTATGTTTATATTTACAAAAATGCTTATGCAGACAAGGTGTTTACACCGATTTCATTGCGTTTGGTATACGCAAGGAGTATACCAAGTATATTGTTCTGAAGACAAATGCTTCCCCACTCACACATGTCAAAATAACTCTTGCTACTGCAATTGCTTTGTGAGTCAGTTCCCCATTCAGAGTTTAGGGAAAAAGGAGGTGAATCTCTACAAAACCAAAGGGAACAAAAAAAAAAAAAACCCTTAATAGGAAAAAATAGGATGGAAGTTAAATGCTGCCCAGGCCATCTCTAAGGATTTATATTTTTGTATATGCAAAACCCAGAAGGTAATTAGAGAAACTCAGGATCCCCTGAGAAGTAAAGCACTAGAGACTGCAAGGGGACAGAGACAGACAGTGCACCCCAGTCCTACAGTACAGGACAAAGCTTAAGAAATCGTTTAACTTGTTTAACTCAGAAGTAAAAATGTACTGTCCTAAATTATTTCAAACAATGCTGCTCTAACTGGCTGAGGCTGTAAATTGTAGGTGCAAGTTTCACACTTTGCTCACCCACATGAATTGCCTTCCTTAAATACAATTCTAGCCTGTAAGCTAGGATTTATTTGTGGAAAGGAAATCCTGTACAACTCTGGGGTTTCACATGCGTTCTAACAGTCATACATATGCAGCTCTTTCTATTCTGTCATGTCATTTCTGCTGTGAAAATGCCTGCTATGTCAGTAAATTTTCCAAGTGACACAACAGATTCAGCTGAACAATAAGGCTGTTCTGTAATTAAAATTTTAAAGTCTTACCAATAATTACATACTCATCATCTGAGTCACTGTGGCATGGAAATCTGGCAACCTCGTGATGTGATGGTAGATGTACTGAGGAGCTGACATTCAGCAGAGCACAGCCTGTCCAGAGTAAACAAGGCACCACTACAACTTCTCCAGTGTCTCCAGAGTAGTTGCAGTTATATTTGTCACTTTTCTTTAACTTACAGCTTCTACTTACAGAGCAACTTTTACACACACTGGAAGCCCATGCTGGGGAGTCTGTCATATAGCAAATGCCTCAAGCACTGGTTTGAGGGTGAAGCTTCCAGAGACTCATACAAAAGTATTCGGTATAAAAAGCGGTCTCTTTCTTACATGCAAGCACATTATTGATTTTCTCCAGGAGTTATGTCATTTAGATGTCATCACTAAGATTTGTCTTATACTTGACACTGAACTCCATTTAAAAATGCACGTGCCAAAACAAGCATTCTAGTGCCAGAAGCCTTTGTTATCCTGCCTCAAATTGCATGCGCTCAACTATTCTGGGCAATTTCATTCAGATCAACTGTACAGCCTGATCTGCACACTGCAGAGGAAGGAAAGAGCTGGACTTCAAATCCCACAAAAGAGGACGTAAACACCAGAGAAAACTAACCAATTGCAGGTGTGCTCTATGGAGAGTTGTGCTTGGCATGTCACTTTAATACGAAAAACAGAAGATAAGATTAAAAAAGTTACAGTAAATGAAACACAGCTGTGAATACTCAAAAGATAGCATCTGACCCACAGGTAACTTCATCTGTGGAATAATGATCCTTAGGGAACTCAGCTTTGATTGGGTGTTGTGAGACTCGAAGAAGGGAATCTGGTTCCAGGAAACACCCAAATTCTTTTGGTGTTTTCTTGCACAATGACAAAAGGTGAAGGCTGGCAGAAAAGGTTGCATTACAGACTAAGTAACTTGCCTTCATAACCACTGTCTGAAGAGGCAACAGAAGAATCTGACTTCTTTACTCCTGGATAGGAAGATAACTCCAAATCAGTGTGATAGCTGCCATCTGGTCCACTGGTTTCCTCCAGACCCCAGGACTCTGACTGTTGCCTTAGGATATTACATTTCATCTTTTCCAGGGATGCTATAATCATATCTGCAACAAAGAAGTGCGCGTTCTCCTGTGAAATTAAACACAAAATTAAAATGCGCATTAGTACACAGCTCAATTTTTTTTCCATCCTACTCCATCTCAAGAAATGAACACGTAAGACTATTCAGCTATTCCTTTAAGCACCAAAAAAAAAAAAAAGGTAATTCAGAGACAATAAGTAAAAGGCAACTGCCCAGACAATTATCTGTCTCACTCTTGACTAAAATACGCAATTTGCTTTTACCTTCTCCATTTATTAGATTAAAAAGAAACTTGATCACATGCCTAACTGACAAATAGGCATGCATTTTAGGGATGTAGCCTTCTAGTCACACTGTATTTTTAGTATGCATGTGTTAATCCATAACATATGTAATAGGATTTAGTTAAAAGTCAGTTGTGTACAAGCATTTTGCACGCACGCTAACTTGGATGAGGCCAGAAGTAGCAAGTTTTAATGGGACTGCAGATCTTAAGGGAGTGAGTAGTACAAAAGCTAGTAAAGTACTTTTGCACGTTAAGAGTCGAGCTGGTGAGCTGATACCACTATGTAGGAACACGCAGCAGGAGAGCTTACATGGTCAACTCAAGGCTAAGGTGTTTGCACTGCCTTAAATAAAAGGTAGTTGTTTCAAAGCTTCACTGTGGCATTTCCATGCCACAAACAACCCCCTCCATGGTGTCCCTTACAATCTTGCCTGCCTGGGTCCTCCAGGCAGGACAAAGGAACTTGTAAAGCCACTCCCAGGGCCGACATACTTGGACAACCTTTGGGCTCTCTGCCTCAACGTCACTGTCATTTCCCCTGAGTGCCCCACTGCTGCTGCCCTGGGCATGGGTTCCCACCCCAGGCTCAGCTCAAAAGTGGATGGGTCACTGGGGGTAGGTGCACTCAGGCGGAAGCGCACTCAGAGAGGCCGAGGATACCCTCCTCCCATGCCTCAACTGTGCAGATTTGCACTGTGCAAAGCTAAACCTCTGTCTGAAATAACCTGGAAGTACCTAAGGCTACAAATTCTGAGTGCAGAATAATTAATTTTAAAGTAGCCTTATGCTCAAAAGATTGTACCACTCCTGTCAGCATTTGCGACATCCCATACAATCCGCACAGGAAGCATTAAGAAAAAAACATCAGTGTTTAGAAAGAGCTACAACTTAAGCAGCGCAGTAGATATCTGTTCTGCTTTCTAGTTGTCTACTGCATTTAAAAGAGAGTTGTCTCAGTATTAGAAGGCCCACAAGTCCATGTGGGTGGCTGAAGAGACTTTTGTCTTATGCCTAACACTGATTAACATTGCTTGCTTGTTTAACAATTTCCCCAGTGATGACTTTCAGGAAACGTCAGGACACACCATTAACAAAGGAAAGAATTATACAGCCTTTTTCCTTTGGGGAGCTGGAAGAAGCAAACCCCTACTTTGAGGGTTCAAAGAGCCTGTGTGGCAGCAGTTAACCCCAAGTTAGTGCGAGAGCACAGCATGCCAGCACATCCCGCTGATAAAAGTAGTGACAAGCACACCTGAGGCAGCCATGTTGCAAGAAGATGGCACAAGATCCTATTTGAGTAACTTAAAACAGGGTACATCTCCCTCAGCTTTCACCTCTGCCTCCCACTGGGAATCTGCCATCCCAGGAAGGTCTCACCTCAGCTGTGACACCCACCTTCATCTCATTTCTCTTCCCCTCCTACTCACATCACAGCAAAAAGCCCCTCTAGATCATCCGGACCTTCTCCTTCCTGGCACAGGAGTGCAACCCTAACTCGCTAACACTGCGTGCAGAGTTTTGGTCTGCTAAGCTTTTCCCAGTTTCAACCAGAGATTATTCCACAGCTTAAGAATGTTATTTTCCAGCAGCCCTACTCAGGGTGACAGAGCTTTTTGTAGTTTTTCCACCTGTAATCACACCAGCCCCCACCCCATCTGCATAGAAGCGGCTGACATCATCTTGCCTTGCTCAGTGACTCTCAGACCACAGTTTCTAATCCAGGCATCTACTCAGCGGTCGCTTGGTGACAGAGCAAGTTACCTCACTTTTGGTTGCCATATTACAGATGGAGAAGTGTTACCTCCTTTCTGAAAGGCCTAACACACAAAGTAACATGAAAAGCGAGTTCTGAAGTTCCCTATTTTTTTTAAATGCAGCTGAAGGACACTGAGAGCTTTGAATCAAACACAGAACTTGCCTCTCCAATAAAAGTAGTGCTCTGCACAAAGAAGATCACCTCTTGGGCCCATGATGTGATGCTTCCACATTCACAGAGCTGCAAAAAAGTCCTTTAAAGTCCTTTTGCATTAAATCCTATTTATTGCAATGGTTAATTACAGCATTAACCCTTCTTTTGCCATCATGAAAAGAGACATCGAGGACTAATTTAGCACAGTTATATGCTATACCACTATCTTGCCATCTTCATCTCTATTTTTAGGCTCAAATGAGCTGCCTATCTGGCAACACACCTAAATACATTTGAAACCCATATGCAATTTAGAAGCCATTAGAGACTGCCTTAAATTACTGTAGATGTCATAATTTCTGTGCTTGCCATTTGCTTTGTAATTTTTTTAAAGCAATTTTACAAGCTCATCATAAGCACACATAAAGAAGTCAACTTCTGCCCCGTTTCCTCACAGTAAAAAGCATAAGGCAAACCCTGTCCATGCGCACGTAACTGCGGCATAGCTTGGTTTCAAGAAATATTTCTGAGAAAATGCTGGAATGAAAAGGGAAATATTTAAGCGTTCTAAAATCTTGCAATTATTTTAACATAATTCTAAGTATTTAATTACCATGCAAAGTAAAAACAAATGAAAAAAATTGGTGTTTTAGGTTGAAGGGATCTTCACTCAAAGAGAGAGGAACAGGGGAAAACACAACATTTTTAAAGATTAGTTTTTCCATCACCTATTTTCCTCCCCCTAAAGCCAACCAGACAAAAGAGCGTCTATGCAGATTTAGTAACAAATGACAGTAATTATTGAGAACATCTCCTCATGCTTTATTTTAAGTAAAATGAGGAAAAAAAACATGAAAACAATTTGTTTGATGGCCTTACCTTCTCCACATCTTCTGGAAGTACAAATATATCCGGCAAGGAACGATTCAAGGGAATAGCACTTATGTTCAAAGGTGAAGCAGACCCTGTGGGTATAACATGAGCTTTATTAGTTATTTCTTCATCTGCACTTCCCAAGATGTGTGCAGGGCGATCTGCAGAGAACTAAAGCAAACTTTCTTTCCCAGAACTGACCACAGCTGGGGTTGGACGGAGTAGTGAAAGTGAACTGGTGAAAGGAGAAGACGACAGAAATGCAAGAAACAAGTTGGCCTTTATACCTTGGCAACCTGAAGCACAGGTATCAATTGCTAGGATAGCCCAGTTTAAATGCTGCTCAGTGGCAGTGCCACCACACTTCCAAGGCCAGCCCTCTTCCCTCCTCCCAGGCTCGAGGCAAGAGGCTGCAGCTGGACACGCTCCTTCAGCTCCTTTTGCGCACAGCCCACCAACCTGCTCGCTGCTCTCCTTTCAGTCCTAACCCCTGGAAGAGGAAGGGGGCCTCACCCAGCGCAACCCATCTCAACACGTCCCGGCCCAGTGCAACCCATCTCAACACGTCCTGGTCCTACTAGAGTCACCAAATCACTGCTAGTATTGTGTGACCACAGCAAGTTCAGGAAAACTTTGCTGTTATGTTTCCATACCTCAAGAAATTCCCCCCTCCCCCCCCCCCCCGTCAGGTTTTTATTGCATAGAAATAAATCTAGGTGGAGCAGATGTACTGACTGCAGTACTCTGCTTCCCAAGCTTTTAGTTTCCTGGCAGTTGTTGATGAGCATGAGGAATATGTGAAATAAAAACTAATCTCTTTTCCTATTAAGCACTTTTTACTGTGAAGCAGAGAACATCTGGTTTTTTGCAGGTTTAAGCTGTACCACAGATTGTTTCCTATATATAAAATGAACAGTCACATTCTTCTTTCACAGAAAACTGACAGCATAGGCTCACACCCTACATTTTTATTCAAATCAGTCACATTCACTACTACAAGAGTTCTGCTGTAAGAATGAAGATAATATTTCGTCCGCGAGTGTACAATACTAAGGAGATACTGAGCAATGACTCCAGTTTTTCACATTAACTGATGTTTGTTTACTACATCCCTTTTCTTCTAGAGACGAATTTCTATTTTGCCAACAAGGTCGTTAGGAGGTGGTCTGTGTTGATGCTTACAGTATAAAAAACTATCCTATCCGAACGTTACTACCATACAAGCCTTTTAATGCCCTTTCAGATAACAGGCTTTTCAAAGACTCTTTCTGAAAAAATTACCGAAGCTGAATTTCTGTCTGAAAATCTTAGAAAAGAGGACCCACAAAACACAAGAATAATTTATGAAGAATAAAGGACATAGTACTCTCGCGACTACTTTGGATTCTTTATACTGCAGTAAACCTTGTTACGCTGCCCTAAGCATTAGTGAAGTCAGGCTGCTAAGTCAGTACCGTGACTAGAGTGCAGCAAATTAGACTTAAGTAGTTACAATTCTTTACAAAAGTGTTAATAAACTGTGTTTACTGAGGAGGGAAAAAGGGAAGATCCAAATACCAGGCTGATGGTCCGAGTTTTGAAAACAGTACAAAGTCACTATCCAATTAGGTTATTTTAATATCTATTTGATGAGCCATCTTACTGGATAAACAGTGCGTGGGGAGTTGTAAGTACTGCTATAGACTAGCAGCTTGATAAATGCTTGCATTCTTATCAGTTAAGATAAGAGACAACTGGGGCTCTGTATACAGAAGAGTAGAAATAAGGAAATGAGTCAAATAATTCCTTTTTATCTTTAAAACATCAGTCCAGCAAACTGGTAAGGCTGATGTTAACTATCGTTTTGAAATCAGACAGCAGCTTTCTCTCTTGCTTACCTTTTGCACCCCACTTCCACATTTTACTAAAACAAGTGTAAAGAGGAACAATAACAATTCTGGTTTCGCACTTCTAAACAAAATTTAGTTTTGTTTTACATGAAAGCAAAGTTTTGCACTGTGGGACATCTGGGTACCATACAGAATTTAGGAGAGGGGGGAAAAAAAAGAAGGAAGCTAAAGATACTGGATAATGTCGCTAAAGATACTGAATAATGTAAATGAGGGTAAGATGCAGAGTTGGAAGAATATTTCTTCAAAAACATGAAAAGGAAAAAAGGTAGAGGACATGAATTTAGACAAGACAAGAGCAGAAGAAAAGCTAGAGAGAGAGACAAAAATCTAAAAGAATGAGGACTCTGAAGGGGAGCCTTAATGAGACATCTTATTTATTGCTCAGGGAATCTCACAAAAGGCAGCTATTACTCTGCTTTCCTCATTTTTCTATTAAAAAATGTGTGTTTCCATACTGAAGCAATCTCATTAGGACAACTAGGAGAAAAAAAAGCAGGAAAAAAAAAAGATGAGATACAGATCCATACAAGAAACAAAACAGCATTTATCACTGCAGATAGGTTTTAGTGGAGTCAAAGTTTTACTATGAAACTTAACTGAACAATTACTACTCTAAAATGTTTACTCCCTTTCGAGAAGTTTCGTGATAAATGGAGGATATTGAAGAGATTTGCAGAGGACAGCAGTCCATGGGAAGGAGCTCAGCACGTCCAGTAACAGGATGCAGCTCTGCACGTGACAAAATAACCCATTTGCCCTTCTTTTCCTGGGCACCATGGCCCAGAGGCTGCTGAGGTTTACAAAAGAGTCCTCCTAGGAGCCACAGGAGGAAACAGCCTTGACGCACACAAAGGTTGAAAGGAAGAACTAGTGCTGCGAAGTGCCAGTGACACACCAGCCAAAAGGCCCCCAGAAAAAAAACAAATTTGGCCACAGACTCCTTGTTAGGAAAGACGGAGACTTTTTCAGAAAGCTGCATGGGCTGCAGCTGCATGGGGTATGAAAAAGGGACAAGTCCCAAGAGGACTCTCATAGGATCAGCAGAAGTAACTCCCTTACTAAATCCCACGGAAAAAGTGATTTATTTTGATTTAAGTCATCATTACCCTCACTTTGTGCATCCCTCGCATATCTCCAGCCCTTTGCAATCAATGTATGAGAAAGAAAGTGAGGATTCACCATCTCCTTTGAAACAGCAATGGAAGGGAAGGGCAATCAGAAGGTATGCCCGTGCAATTCCTACCCTCAAATTACGCATTTTAATTCTTCTTTTTCAGTTTCCCATTTGCTTTCCCTGCCCTCTTTCTCTTGCACCTGGGATTTAAATGGCTGAAAGTAACAGTGAATGGCTGAATGCAGAATTTTCTAAGTTGCACAGAAAAGAAATCCAAGTTTGATGCAGACAGAGCACAATGTATAACAGGACCTCAGCTCCTGTAAGGATTACTTTCCAGGTAGTGAAAACAAGGACACTACTTTCAGTCACCAGGCTACCTCTAGCCTTATTGCTGTGATCACCTTTCAGAGAAGCAAAAACATCACCTCACAGAAACTTGAGACACATCCCACTTACGTCAGAAAATTGCGTCACGACTTCTCTATTCTTAAACACGTGCCTCACGGTCCCTGCTGACATTTACAGACTTGGCTGGGTGTTCCCGACTGAGCTACCTAAACCCGCTTAACTGGCTGAACCCAGCTCCAACCACAGGGTGTGGTTTGCTTCTCCCCGCACCTCTGCTGGGCACCTTTCAAATCTATCATGCCCGGAACAGCACAAAAAGTATCCAGCAGAAGCAAACATCCACAGTCTTTGCCATACCTGTTGGCAACAGCCTACCCTAGAAGACCAAGTTACTAAAAAGTCCCTGCTCTATTATTTAGAAAGTTATTAAAAGATAATAAAGCTAAATTAAAGTACTTCAAAATTTTAATTACCAAAAATTAAAATTTAATTGAGAATTAAAACTGAAATGTTATTTTGTTATTTTAATATTTATTAAAGCTTTATTCATTAAAAACCTAAAGTTATTTAAAAGCCCCTACTACAAGCCTCTCATCCTGCAATGGCATGTGCCTATTTGAGATTTCACTGTAGACTGAGACATTAGATGTGCTTTGAGTGAATAGCCAGGTGGTACCAGACCTTGGAAATGGAGCTTAACAGTGTCACCGTTAGGTCCCTGATTACTATTAATCAAAGAGAGATAAAATACCCTTTAGGCTTTTTATTTATAATACAAAGGCAGGCTGACTGCTGCCTCCCACCTGTCTTCCATCCAGCAGAGAATCAGGTCTCAGCTGCACCATCTTCCTGGGGCTCGCTATCTAGCAAGATTAGATCAGATACACATACAATTATTTATAAAAATAAAATAGAAATGCTTCATCTCACTGTAGCACAGGATGCTAATAATAATGCTGGGTACTAAACACAAGAGGAGTCTTCTGCTGCTCCAGCTAAGCAGCTGCAGCCCTCATCTGAAGCCCGGGAAGGCTGACACATCTCACCATTACACAGGCACTGCCCTGAGGCCAGGTTTGCTCCTCTGCTTTCCAGCTTTGGAGCTGGGGGGCTGAGTTCTAGTGTAACCCTGATCAAACAGCCTGAGCCCATTCCTGTGAGGCCCCATGCCACAGAGGCCTCCATGCCACCGTGGGAACAAGAGGAACCCAAGACAGCACAGCAGAGACACACACTGCTAGCAGCTTTTATCTGTGCCTCTTCACGGACAACCCCCACTGGATGCAGTATCAGCACGCTCCAAAGCGGGCAGAGGAGGAATAAAAAGGATTCTGATCTGCATCCAAAGAGGTCACATATCTCTGAGAGTAATAGCTGGTGCATGTGAAAAGGGGATGTGAAGCAGGAGGAAAGATAGTTCAGCTCTACAAGCTGGTTTAGCCATAACAAGAACGGATGTTAACCCAAAATCGGAATCAAGGGAGTCTCCTACCTCCAGCTCACGTTAAACAGCAGATGGGTGGAGAAGCCAGTACACATCACTGAATCACTACCAAACTAAGATCTTTGCTATCTATTTTCAAAATGAGAGTAACTGCGAGAACAAGATAAAGTGCCTTATCTGCTGGATGATCCGCACTGATCACAGCTCAGTAATTTTCACATTTTACCATAGGGCCACTTCTAAAGAAGCACTCCTGTGATAAGAGACCGAAAGAAAATTCCAAGCTAGAAAGCCTCCTCTTTCACTAACACCTGCCTCCATTTTGAGAGTTCTTTCTTTCCTCTCACCCGTGTTTGCAATCCCCATAAACAAGGCCAATCTCAATTACAGCAGTCCTTCCATTCCTAGGACAGAAATTTAAAAAAAACAATGGGCCTGCAAATGCAAAGTTACCTGGTTGATCTGATGGCTCCAACTGCGAAAACCCACATGGAGAACTGCAGTCACCGTTGCTGACAGGTGCAGGCTCCAAAGCACCTGGGTATTTTAATGGATCTACTGGCTTACTAACAGTTGAATCTGGGAGAAAACTTGTAAAAGCCAAGTCTCGTTCAGGGGGACTGTAAGATTTTTGATGTTCTTTTCCACCATGCACAACAGCTGATGTGACCGTGCCTCCTGTTAAGGTCACTTGGGTAAAGCAGTCCCGCTTCAGAGGCGATACTTCTGAAAAAGAGAAACCATTCAAGGAGGAGGTAGCGGGATCCCTGTCAGAATAACGTGGGCAAAAGAAAGAATCCAGCAAAGATTTAGAGGAATCGCACTGTCTATTGTCCCAACAGACTCGATGCCTTGTAAACCTTATGTCTGTTTGTGTATAAGCAGCACTGTGATGAGCGGAATCGCTATCGCTGTCATCATTGTTATCCCCATCACTACTCTCCTCCCACCGCTCCAGGTCACTGTCTGGACGTTCAGTTCTCTGCATCGTGGTCTGCTCTGACAGCAAAGAGGGCTTCACACCAGATCCATTTAGAACAGACACAAGAATGTCTTTGATAGCTTCAGCGCTATCTGGGTACGATCCAAAACTTCCCGCATGTCCGATCACTGCTGGCCTTGAGTAGTCATCTGTTAAGAAGAAAGAAATCAGCAAGTTAAGAAATAATTTTTAAAAAGGCTAATTTACAACATGAATAAAACGCAATTTTCATTTTTGACATAGCTGAGAAGAAAAGGAAGAACTCAATCACCACTCTCCCACTTCTCCCAACTAGATCGTGCTTTCTGCAATCAGGAAGCAATTCTGTCATTGATAGGGTCATAGGTAATAAATCAACAGTGGAGTAGGCTGCTTCTAGCCAAATACATACAATCAGTTAAGACTTTAACGGTGGCTGGTTGTTAACGTGCTCGAAAACATTATTGTTCTACAAAACCGGAGAAGGAACAATGTAAATAACTATTACAGCCCTGCTATTTACCATCTTCATGTTTCGGTTCTACTGCCAACAAGAGAAAAGGTCACTTGAAAAAACAAACCCACTTCTAATTCCTACTCGTCAACTCCATATCCTTTCTGGTGAATCACAGGCTGTTGAAAAAGGATTGAGCTCATAGCAGTAAGCATTAAGGTTTAGGAAGTTCTCCAGAAAAAGCTTGCTGGAATTACATTGGTATTTCATTTATCCCCCCGAACTACTAAAATTCTGCAACATCTACAGCCCACAACAGTTATTTCTGGAAGATAACCGTACATGCTTCACAACAGACCAACGCACAAAAAAGCTGGAAACCTGTATGCCAAAGGCACTGTCAGTGACTGATGAAGTTTGTGAACTACAAAATTCTATAACCAAAGTAGTTAACTAAGGAAGTCTCCTGGCATTATTTAGTAAGTTATGCAGGCTTAAAGCTTGTGCAGCTTTTAAGAAAAGCAACAGGCATTCCAGTTCTTACACTGAAGCGGAGATAGAAAAGCAATTATTGCAAGACACGCAGAGGATCAGAACAGCAGGAAGAAAAAAGCGTACCCTTAGTAAGAAAAGGTAAAAAAAAAAAAGAGGTCACATGCTTACAGGTTTCAGTGAAACACTTGCTCCTCATGTGCAAAAGGCCAAAGTAACCTTTGGTTCATTAGTCAGAGCAGCGGCAACATTTACATGAACCCACAAAGAAAATCAGCCAGAGTGAGTTCATTAAAAAGCCTCTGAAGGAATCAAAGTACTACTGCCACAGCCCTAAGTAATCTCCTGCAAAACTGGAGTTCAAGAGAAAATGGAAAAACTGCCTGCTATGACAAACATGACAACGGAAGTGTGATGTGAAAGTGTATGCTGCCATCGGTAGCTATTCAAGAATAAATCAAAGTCCTATGCCTTCAACAAAAAGCCTCATAGAAAGTGCCATTATCCACACAATGAAGAGGTTAGACATGAGGTTGGTAATTTCAACAAGAAACTATCAACCATATCATGACAAAAAAAGAGAAGATAAGTCGATTGTAAAATTCTAAGAATAGATACAAACAAGAAGATTCATTTCCAGGGCAAAGATCAACTACTTGGGACCACGAGGAATGTTAAATACCGCTGCGGAAAAAGCAGCAAGTCCTGCAGACAGCAGACTTTGCCCGGAGGTTGTTCTCCTTGGACTATCTCAATGCAAAACAACTAACCTCTTCACAAGCCACTCACCTGCCAGCATGCACTCAAACTCCATGGTAGATAAAGTTTACTAATGAAGGCTTCCAAACCAAAACCCATAGACTTTGGAAGAGCAAGCCTATAAAGAACACTTCTCATGAAGAGAAAGCAGGAAAAACAAAATAAAAAAAAGAAACACCGCACATCCAAGCACTGAGAACATCACATAGAAGCTACGGTGCGAGAGTTACTAGTGATAAACTCCACAGCAAAGTCAGGTCAAAACGAGCTGAACAGTTCATCTATGACAGTGAATAGGACCAGCCACCTGCCTTTGATCAGGACAAGACTCTAGCAGGGATGCAGAAGTAGCAGCAAAACCGCACTTTTGCTTGGCTGGTGTTTGCAAGACAGGCTCTGCACTAGGAATACCTTGCCAGTATAGCCAATCACTATAGCATAAGAGCAGAAATGAGAAGTTAAAGCTATCTGACTTTAAAAAAAAAAAAAATCTTTCCAGGAAAAGAAAGCAATCTGATAATTATCAGAGGTTTTAATCACACAAACACAACTTAGCCTGGGCCAAAAACATTATCTTTTCTGTGTAGTCACAACGTTTAGTCTTGCTGCCTTTAACTCCTCTTCCGTTCTGCTCTCCTATTGCAAAACCCGACCCGAGAGCCTTACTGTCTCTCCTCATCCTTCATCTCCACCACTCCAACATCACGGGCCTCTCTAGCACAAACCACATAACCATAGTGATTTACTCTGACAAATATTTGTTCTTCTCTCTTAAATCAGCTACAATCAAGTTTTAAAAGTTTATCTCAGGTTTCTGCACTGACAAGCCTGGAAAAAAAAGTTAAGTCATTACCAGAAATACGTTAGTTCAATTTAAAAATCTCAAGTTCAGTTTTGCAACTGACACTCAGATAAGTAACTCCAGTACTTTGTTAAAAATCTAACAACAGAGTTCTTGAATGAGTAAGGACTTAAAACAACCTCCCAAGAATCATCAGAGCAGTTCAAGTGTTCTACCTGAGCGCTAAAAACGCTGGCATAACTAAAACAGCCGGATTACCCTTTAAAAAGCAAAGAACTGTACTTTCAAACGCTACAATATACTTTGATGTTGTCCCATCTTAAAAGCCAACAAATAAGGTTTCCTCTCCAATCAGAATTCATTTGTTTAAAACACAACTATCAAAAGCCTTTACCACTGCTACTAGCACCAGTAAAGGTCCCTAGAGGGAGACATTTTAGAATAAAACAGCATACCTGACAGAACTGAGATCTGAGGTGTCGGAGCAAGACAGCTAATCCTCGCTGGAGTATACACCGAGGGATTTGAAGAATACACCGTCTCTGTAAGAGTCTCCTTATAGCTTTCCTGATTTAACTAAAATAAGAACACGCAGGCGGACAATTTGGTTATATGACAACAATGCTGTGATGATGGTACCCCCATCTCATACCCACCCCATTGGTGTCTGCAGAAAAACACTTAACAGGCTGCTGATAGTCACCAACCCCTGTCAGAGCTTGGATTTCCTAAACGCCTCCCTGACTGTTTGGAAAGCTCCCTAGGGGCACGTATTATACAATGAACTTTGGCACCTTAACTCTGCATTTTACTCAAAGGCAGATGATGAAAGGCAGCATTTCAGAGCCCAAGCCCACTACTGGTTCTCATCCTGAATATTTAGTTACAAAACTAGCTACAATCTGATAAGACAGATTGTTTCCTCTCAAGACTTAACTATCAAGGCAACCATTCAATTTTACTTATTTTTCAGAAGTATGGTTTCTTTGAACAGAGATTGCAAATACCTGCTCAGGTATATGCTCGACTCACCTGTCACAAGCACTGGCTGATTTAAATGAAATTGTGCATTTGTCTTATGCACGTTAAAGTGCTGAACTCAGATGGTTACGTATTTGTCCAAACAGCAATAACAAGTTTGAAAATAATTCAAGGAGTTGCCAATTTGTAGTGGGAAGGAAGGGCCTGTTTACACACGTACAAGCTATGAAGTAAATATATAAATAAGGCCCTGACTCCCCAAGCATCACCTACCTGATCCATGTGCCGCCCCATCTCCCAGCAGCATATGGGCTGGGATCAAACACGGCCACATAACCATACCTGCCTATTTTGATATAACATAGTATGTACAGTTTATTTCAGTAATATGCTTGATTCAGTATAAAGTGAGACGTGACACAAGAAGATAATACTCCATCTGGCATACAGCCTGTCAGGCTAAGCTGACAAAAATTTTGGACGCATTCGAACTGGCTGGCTGAGTGCGTTTATACTAGATCAGCACTTTACTTTGTGTGGTTATGACACTTCTGATTCAGTATTTACAGCCCAAAGCTGGATTTATTGCCTTGTCAAATCAGCATAAGCTGAAATAGGGTAAGCAGTTTAATGTCTATACCGAGGGACTAATTCCAACAAGGAAGCAAGATGTACTCACACCAGCACAGCAACAGGTCTCCCAAAGGTCACAAGTCCCATGCACAGGTCAAGTTTTTGTCTCCTGCTCCCTTTCCACAGCCCCATGGATGTGCAGAGCATATTGCAGATACCAGGGGAAGCCCTCCCCAGCCCTCTAGCTTCCTCTTCACCTCCAATTCCCCCTGTGGTCCAGTGGGAGGGTTAAGTGACTCAGAGATCAGACTCAGCCCAAATTCCCTTCAGGCTCACGGAAAGCAGAAGTTCCCAAAGCAAAACCCCAAGAATTTCCCTTTTAATTCAACAATAATGTTTCACAACAGAAAGAACAGGCTGTATTGCAAATACTTAGTGTTTAATTACATGAAAGCATAGAAAAATATTCCATCCAGTACCTGATTTGGTACCATCTTTTTTTTCCTCCTCTAATGCAGAAAAAACATTGTGTAGGCAGACTTTACTACACATGAGTACCATATTGTTAAGATTATTAGGTAAAACCACTCTTACAGGAACTCAGTTATTTATCAACTAATTCGCTAAGAACTTACTTTACGCATTTTTTTAATTAGCACTTAATTGACTCTGTTCTCAGTATCATAGCTGCCCCACACCACACTGAACACAAACCCTTCATTAGTGAGTATAAATATTTTTTTAGATAGTATTTTTTTAAACAACCCCTTCATCTCTTAGATCTTACCATAAGCAACTGATATTCTGAGAACTTTGATAAAAGATTTCCATTTACTTTAATAATACTACCATTTAAATAATATTGCAGATTGATAATTAAATATTGAAGAAGCTTTTCCCCAAGTAAAAAGGTAGTTAGAGTGCTTATCAGAAAATAAGAAAATAGAGATGCCTGAAGTGTACTGCAACACACCACCGTAACTAGTAAGAAGGGCTGACAAACAGTTTCACATTTTTCACAGCAAAAATGAGCCATTCTTTTTCTAATATTGGGACTGTATCTGCAAAGCTCAACTCCACAACAAAACTGCTATTTCTTAAAATATAGTATTTACCACAATCACTGCTATTTAAGCACCATATAAATCTGGGGAGGGGGGAAGTGTCCCCAGCTAATGAAAACACTGAGAGAGTTTTTAAATTATTGCTTTGCTTTACCTTTTTAAAACTGGAGTGTTTGAAGACTTCCGTTCGGGCGTAGCTAGCTACAGTTACAGCTTGGAGAGACATGATGGGAAAACATTCATCTTTTTTGTGAACTACCTGGAAGAAACTGAGAAAGAATTACAGTGATTACCGAATTAACCGCGATTTTCCACGTGTTTTGCAGACACTAAACTGAAGCTTACGCCAAAACGTTTTTGGTGTTGACTTTGTGCAGAGGGCAGCAAAAACGAAAAGCTGTATTAGACAGATAGTAGTTCAGAGAGTTCACGAAACTCGACAAAACACAAGCTCCTACCGCAGACATCCAAAAACATTGCTTAGTCCGTCGCAGCCAGCAGTTTTATTATAAAAGAGGGGAAAGATAGAGAAGACTTAGTCATAATAGCATTCTTGTACTTTTGTTGTTGTTTTATAAAAAAAAAGGCTGCCCGTACGCCGCTTTGCCCTCTCCGCTTCACGCCATACAAAGCCGGCGAGCTGCACCGACAACGAACAGAAAAGAGGAATTTTCTCTTTGCCCTCGAAAGGGTCCGCAGCCCTTTCCTACAAAGCAAGTCAGCTCTTCATGTGGAAGCGTTTAACTTCCAAACGCGGCGTTTCCTGGAAAGCGTTTCCCCCAGAGCTCGCGCGGGCTGAGAGGCGCGGAGGCACCCAACGGCTCACGCTTCCCTCGCGCCCTCCAACGCGCGCTCCGACGCGCCCGCGAGGCGGGTTTTTTTCCTTTTTTCCTCCTCTTCTCGTTTATTTGGGATTTCTCCTCCCCCGCCGCCCCTCTTCCTCGTCTCACCTGAGCCAGCCCCCGAGCTGCCCGCGCTCCCTCCCCTCCGCGGCGGCGCCCCGCCCGCTGC